CTCGCCACTTTTCAATTCAAATACTTCGCAACGACACGAAACACTCAGAAAATTCTCAGTTCTTAAAATAATTAATTTCCAAGTGTATTTATTACACGATGTCTAATTTTCACGATCGAAGCGTTAGATATTAAAACGTTTTCTAATTAAAAAAAAAAAATCGAAATGAATGGAAAATCTTTGAATTCGCAATCTAAGAAGAGTCGAGGGAACGTGTGTTTACAGAAGCATTACAGAACGTCAACTGGCGCGTGCTGTTCGAAGGATCAGCTGAGTCCGCGACGGCGCGGTTTCTCGCGATAGGAAAACCAGCTCACTGAGCGGGTACACGCGGATGGACGATTCTCTTTGCTATCCCGCCGACGAAGAGGACGAGAACGGCCGAGCAACGTGTTCGTGCGATTCCGTCGACTCGTTCTGCTTCTTATAAGGTGAGATCCGAAGGTGCACGTCGTCCTCCTACGCGCCTCAATGCACCCACACGACGCGACGTCCGGATTATCGCCGCGAGTGAACCGGAAGAATCGACCGGACTAATCGCGCTTCCATTCAGCGGTTTTATTCTTTTGCGAGATAATCGTGGGGAAAAATTCAGGCACACCGGACGAGAACGGGGTTCAACGTTTGTTTAATGGACGGTGGACGGATGAATCGGTTGCTTCTTGCACGCGCTTCCGGATTTGCAGACTCGCGAGACTCGATTGAGTGGTTCGAAGGAAGAGGACGCGTTTTTATACGCTCGATTATCTGTGATTTTACTTACCAATTGCATATTGGAAATGAATAATTTTTAAATCTGTCTAAAAGAAGTGGTAGACTATAATAAATGATAAAGAAATGTAGAAACCCACTTACTTTCCCTGTGTATCAGGTCTACTTGTTCTAGCAATTAAGGAAATTCCTTCTTTTGATAACGAATAAATGTTTGAAAATTTCATGCTGCAAGCTAGTTAATGTTACAGAAAATCAACTTGTAATTAATGCAAACGAAGAACTCGGTCTAATTGGGAGAAATATGTATAACGAAAATAATTAAACCGGATTCTATAAATTTCTTTAGAAAATCAGAGAATAGGTTCATTAATGAAACTCGATGGATTTATCATATACATATTTCTTATCCTACTGAAATTACTAATTATTCTAAGTTTTCCAAATTTCAACGCAACGATCTAATGATCAAAATAACACCTGTAGGTATACACGAAAAAAAATAGATAGAAACAAGAGAATAATTAGTAAGAAGCCACAACAAAGCAGTGTTTATTATATAATAATTACAATGAACTTATACAAAAGTCAACTAAAAATGAAAAATACTCTAAAAACGATGCTGCATTTGTAACCAGGCAAAAATAACAAGGAAAGAACCGAGTAAAAAATATACTTGTAATATACAATTCGCGGTTTCCGTCACGCAATTCTTTTATTTTAATTACTGTATCAAGTAAAGCTAATACACAACAACGTTAATACTAATAACCGTTTTAAATGAAGTTTCTCAACGAGACAGATAATAAAAATTCCTTTCAACAATGATTTCACGTCATGCAAAATATCTTGCAAAGGAAGAAGAGAAAAAAAATTGTATGCATTACTTCAAAAGCAACATTCTAAAGAAATCTACACTACGTATAAAACGATGCTTAACTTATTTATTTATCTAGGTCACGTTCAACCGGAAACGGACATCAGCGTGTGCAAAATAATTCATCACTCAGCATGCAGATAACTTATGGCTAAAGCAAAGGACAATTAGTGGAGAACGAGCAACTTTGCGAATGAATGAAAATGGAAAAATTTCTCACGAAGGAATTTTTTCATCTCTTTTCAATTCCAAGATCGTTCGTCTACCATTGTCCCTTACACGTCCATTCATATATATGTATGTGCTAAATTACAAAGATTCTTGTATTATACATGTTTCTGTGCGCAAGCCACGTTCAAACAATTTCTCATTCTTACGTTTTGAACTTCGAACACCCAAATCTATTCACTGGCACTTCGAACAAAATACCGGAGATAAATTACAAGCGTGTTATAAAAATTTCAAAGCAAGAATTTTAAATTGAAATTTTTATAACGAAACCATCGCGTCTCAAAGAATATATTTTCAGTCCATCGACAGAGAAGATTTATATTTGTATCATGCTAATACTTGCATATCAGTCTTCGTAAATTACTTACAAAAGTAATTATTTACACACGCTAGTTCGTGAAATGTTTAACTAAATCTAAACGAACAAGATCTCCGTCAGTTACCACTCTTACGATTATTTATACAAGTACAATTTTCGTCGGTATTCTTCATAATGAAATATCAAGAATCGACGACGTCACGTGCAATTCAGCTGGATAAAAATCAATGATTTGTTGCACCGATTCAGGCTAGACTTTCAGATTTAAAATGAACGCTTCTAAATTGAAAGTATCGTGGACAAATGCAGTTGAAACGAATAAAACAATCGCTCGATACAAGGATAATCGTTTCTCTGTATCGAACGATGAGGAAAGAAAATAAAATTATGAAAGAAGTATAAAGACAAGACCGCTGAGAGCGGTAACTAAAACGGCGGTCATGTACGACAACGAAATAGCGAATGAACGACGTTGAATTTGATTATTGTACTTACCACGAACTTGTTTCATGTACTTTTCGCTTCTGAACGAATTGCTGACCGACTCCAATAACGCGTGAAGGCACCGTAAATTTTCCCTACACGCGCACTCCACTTCCGTCTACAAACACAAACATCAAAAGTCAGTAATTTCAATGTTACAGCCATTCAGTTTCGAGATAAGATATTATTTGTAAAGCGTCACACAAGAATCAACACCAAACCAATTATCTCTTGAACTGAATTTAAAATATCATTACTATAGCATTATTAAAGCAATTGATGCAAGACAGAATTTCGAATGCGAAATGAAAAACAACATTTTTTTAAACCAGTATGCCATTTTATTAGAAAACTGTGTTGATGCTAATAGCGACAAATTTTTTGCGTCCATCTAATATTTATAGGTTTCTTTTAATTATTACCTACGTCAAAGCTTAATTAAAATAAAATACTGAATCTTATTAAGACCATCGTCAGTAAAGCAATAAAAAGAAAAAGCATGGAACAGTATACAATGTGTTTCAATGACAATGAGAAAAAATATAAGTTTGACCAAAGCAGGGAATTCAGCGTGTATCGAAAACGATCCTCCATCTTTGAAAAACCTTGTATACTAAAAGTATAAGGTAAATGTCTACAATTAGGACCCCAACGAGAAATTAATCGAAAGTAAATTCTATGTGTTTTTGCCCCTCGAATCCAAAACTGTTGATAAAATTTGGGGGTCGCTTGTAATTTTTAAGATACATAAGTTAGGTTAGGTTATCAGAAAAAATATAACTTACCTCACGGCAAAAACTTGACCAGTCAACAATAGTCTTCTTGAAAAGAATAACTTAAAATTCAATTCTAATCTTGATATCACGACCATTGCCCGTTTTATTGGATATTTTCTCATATTGCGTCCTTCGCGCTGTGCATTCTATGAACAGGAATTAGAACTGAGCAAGGAGACTATTGTTGACTGGTCAAGCTTTTGACGCGAGGTATATATGTTATATTTTTTCTGATAACCTAATCTAACTTATGTAGGTTAGTGACACGTTTTAAAAGTATTGTCTACCCCAAAAAGTCATTAACTTTTGAAAATAATGATTTTATGTCAATATTTACCACAATATCTTAATAAATACAAACTACCCCCAAATTTTATGGTTTTGGATTCGGGGGGCAAAAATACATAGAATTTACCTCTTTTCAATTGATTTCTCGTTGTCTAATTGTCTAATTGTCTAATTGTAGACATTTACCAAGTATAATTACCAAAAAGCCTTGGAATTCTACAAGCGTACCTTGTATCCCGTCTTTCGGAAGCACCGTCTCAGCGTCAATTTCAGAGCGAAGGTATCCTTCCAAAGGACAACACGAAACTGGCTGCGATTCGAGCGAGAAACACAAGCGCGTGCTCGAGCGAATGTTTACCTCTGCGATATTCGTGTACATTGCGAAAGCAAGAAACAAGGACAAAGCAATGCTAGACATGCAAGCAAATATTGCTACAGAACCATTTTTATTCTTCTCTAAAGTAATTATTTCCCGTTAAATGTTTGTTTAACATTTAGTTGTAAAGAAAGTACCCGTTCGTTTTATACTGCAATAAGTTTTTTATTACGGTACACTGCTAAAATTTTGTATGCCTGTAATTTGCCAGATACGAAGGATACGAATGGAAAATTTTGCATCATAAATATATATAATTTTATTTATAAACCTACAACATAATAAGCTTCGAGTTTCGTATTAAAATAATATACATTGTATATACACTCGTTCTGCATACGTTATACATGTGAACACGTAAATTCAGCCCTTACACATCTAACATTTAGCAACCGCGTCGTCATTAAAACGATTTAATAAAAGAAGAAGAATTATAACGATTAAAAAGCATAATACCACAAATTAAAGCATACTTTACCGTAGTCATTCTACAAAGTTCGGTAAACGCAAAAAAACAAAGCAGCCTATAAACTAGAATAATCACACAAATTGAAAGTTAAAAGCACAGAAGAAGCAGAAATGAAAGCGTAACTAATCAGACTTTTTGTAACCGCGTGGTAACGACGCCAAGCTGAAAAAGAAATATTTCATGCGCTCACACATGCGTACAATACTGACACCCGTCGAAACGATTCTGCGATAGAGAATAGAAGCGAATTTGTTCACGCTTTTTATCCAGCCCTTGAACAATTTGTACAGTTTTCTCACCACCAAACACCAAGTCAAAAACATTATCATACGTACGCAATCCTCCGGCATCGTTCCATTGTTCGCCCTCGCGAACAGATTTTCAGCGAGGGTCAACTGAGATTGTGATTTTTCAACCACGTTCCGGATATCCTCTACGTCGCTGTCGCTGTCTTCCGTCGTATCGACTATCTCCTGAAACAAATTTGTCATTTTATGGTAGTTCCGCTAGAAAATAATTGGCTAGGAATTAATTTTTACTGCGATCATCGATGCGTTGAAAAATTTGTAACAAGGTGGTTGCGTACCACTGGTCGAAAGATACCGAAACAGAACAAAGAGAAGCTAACGATGCTTTAGTCTGCCAGCGGTGCTCAAAATCTGTTTCAATCAAAGTAGAACAATTTTTCCAGACCTATTTATCATAGCTATTTAAGACTTATCAATGTCAAGATAAGAAATTAATCTTCCTATGTGTACAAACTAGAAATAATTGAACCAATAAAATATACAATCAGCAAAATGTTGATACGGTGTCAGGGATTTTGATAGAAACGCGTTGCACAGTGACTTGTACATTGTCATCAAACCATCTTGCTCCACTAAAATAGTTTTGGCAGCGACTGTATCTGTAATTACATCGTTTACCCTCGTTAAGATATCATCGCAGAGACGCGTTCGTCTCAAGCTAAGTCTCGATAACAGACGAAGAGATTCGCTACAGTGTCATCGCGGTGAAAGGAAATTTCTTTTCGAGATATCAAGCTACAGGAACTGAAAAATGATAATAAATAATCATTGTGCGCCACGTTGTAGCCGGGATGATAAGAAGCGAAAGTTATTAACAATTTACACGTCTGGTGTGTGTATACAAAGGTGTTACAGAAAGGTGTACGTGGTCGAATCTGGTACAAGGTAATAATTCGGTCGCAAGGTTTACAAGGTAAAAATGAGTTTATTGCAAACACTCAAATGACGTTTCACGTCTGAACACACAGGATGAAAAGTTTTATTTGCTGCAGAGGAATTACATTCTATCCACAGCGATACACGCAAGCAACGATCCTTGTTACAACCTACTACTTTGAATACTACGAGACTTTAGTACGTTTGTTGAAAAAAAGAAAAAAAAGAAAAAATATTGACAGAATTGAACACGTTGGAAATTGGTGGCATCATAAAAAGAATATGGACACCTGATCGAGTAAGAAGAATAGAATGGAACGTACATGATGCATACGACTTCTAGGCAGCGGGGAGCTAGTTGGAACTGCACTCATACTGGATGCACAGTCGGATTGACTGTCGAGGAAGTTTCGGTAATCGTCTCCAAAGTCCAACAATCTTCGTGCTGTTTCTACGTCGGGTGCTTCGCTGTACGGCTCGCTCATATATTTTTCCTATCGAAAATAGAGAACAACTTAAAAGTCAGTTATTGGTTATGAAATTTTCTCGAAGAGGTCAGGAAGCAGGACTATTGTTGAAATTTATATTTATAAATTCAATTTAATATCGAAGCGAACAAGTTTGCAAAGATACTGGTATTCAACATTGCAACCCTAACGGTTTGCTCAATAAAACGTAGTTGATACCATCAATTCAAGTTGATGGCAACGCAGTGACATTTATTGACAGTAGTATTCCGATGTTTAAGGATTAAACGCGTTTACCTGGTAATTATCCCAAGCCTGCTCGGAGAACGAGTTGTTCCCGAGGCTGTTCATCTCTACGTCGCTGTCCACGTTCAGTTGCTGGTTGCACAGCTCCTTGTTGCTCAGAACGGTATCCAACAGATTCTCGTCGTAGGTGAAACAGCTTCGCGTGCAATTACGTTGCTCTTCGGGCTCGGTCTCGGACGTGGAAGCGACCGAGGTACAGCAAGGTAACCGGAACGGTGGAGTCGGGTCGCTGACGATCGTCCTCTCCGTGGAAAACTGCTGATGCGACGTGCACCCGGAGAACGAACCGGATTTCACGAGGGTGGTCAAACGACCGTGGCAATCTCTCGAGATCGTACGTATACCGCGGCTTCCGCTCATTTTCCGTGGCGAACGTTGCTGATTCGACGAACTACCGTCGCTACCAGCGGATTGATTCGCGTTTACACCCTCCGAGCTGGAATCGCTTTTGCGGCCCTATAAACGAGTTTTCTTCTTTTTTACCTTTCATTTAAAAAATGATATTTTTCGTGATATAAATTGGACAGCAGGTCTTACCAAGTTCTTCTTGCGCAATCTGCTCTTTTTCCTACGCAACGAACTGTTTCGAACCACCCGGCCATCGTGACAAATGATCGACTCCTCCAATAACGTGGACGTTGAGTTGTTGAAGGACTTCCGTGATCCTCTGTGATACGCAAACGGAGAAGAGAATCGTCAGAGAATTTTGACTTTTAAATCCAGCTAAGACTACCGGTACAGCGAAAGCGTTTTCTGATGATCTATTGTTCCCACGAATGGATATAAATAAATTTCTACGAGGGTGGTTACGTTACGCTTCCACTGTAACCGTAGACTAAGTTTAACCCGTTGACTGGTGCGGCAGACGACGGTAATCGACACCAGAAATTCATAGTAAGAAGGTATCATAAATTATTCTAAGTAAATTACTCACGTGGCATCTAAGGACACGGATTTGGTCGGTGGAGTAGCGATCAATTGATGAAGCGCTGTCTCGGAGATGGAGAATTGCGAAATCGGGTCGTTCGTTTGATTCAGATTCGCGTTATTGCCGATCTGAGATATACACGACACACTCCACGGTCTGGGACCGTTCGATTTCTGTTTCGATCTCATCACGACTTTCGGCGTGCTCGAGTCCAGCATCGGATGTGCCTCGTTGATCGGCGTCCTTTCAGCCTCGTCGAATATCTCTTGCGACACCGACTGAGACGTGCAGCCAAGTGCACCTTCGAATCGCCGATACGTTGCCACACTGCTCTGCAGATCCTCCGACGAAACCGACTGCCTCTCCCCGTCGGATTCTTCGGTCGTGTACTCGCCGCTCGCATCGCAACTATCCAACGGCTGCAATTCCCGTTCATTACAATTGTTACGAAACGTTATAATTCAGTTTAGGCCTCGTTAAAAGCTCTTCATCTCACTTTAGGACAGACGCGTCGAAAAATTGCAACAATTCATTCGCCCTCTTTTCTCACATTTTCAAGAACAATGTCTACTATCGAACGTTAATTTAAAATTAAAAGGAACAAAGACGGTTTACAATAGAGAACTATTAAACTTTGTTCAAAGGAACAATGAGGCACACTTTCCTTCGACTTCGTCTTCCGATTTGCATGAAATAGCTTATACTCGGGAATAAATAAAATGAAAAAAAAAAAAAAATACAAAAATGATCCCACATCGTTACGATGTAAAAGGAAAGCATCGAACAATACACACCCCGCAACAATAGCAATAATTGCAACCTACCTGTGACGTGGATCGTCCATCGTGTCCTCGAGCAGAGTTCAATTTCAACCACTCCTTTATTCGAGCGTACTTGGCACGATGATTATTCGTTATACCCTTATCGTCGAGTATGAGCGGAGGGAACGTCTTGCACGCTCCTGTACGCCTCTCCTCGCCTACCAATTTCTCTACCTCCTTGATCAGCCTCTGTATGCTCGTCTTGTCGTTTTTCGTTTCGTCGTCACTGTCCTTCTCGCGACGAGAGGACGCGTCGGTATCGTTCGATGTCTCCTCGACGTTCGCCATACCGAGGACCGATTCACGGACTGCTTTCTCGGCTTTCTTCATTTTCTCCTGCTCGTTATCGTTCGACTGCGATTCGCCAAAATCAAGACGCACCAGCACGTTCGTTTCCCGTTGCTCCGAAACGTCGTTCGCACGTGAAGAAGTGTACGTCCACTCCTCTTCCGACGAGTCTTCGGCAGCTATCGCCGCCTCCTCGTTCTGCTCCGAGTCGGTGTCCAGGTGTTTGAAGTAGAAGGTCGCGCAATTCTTCGATTTCCTGTCGGATCTAATGACAAACGCTTTACGATGAGCTAGATTCGTCGACGTTAAGCTTGCTTCTACGAAGCTCGACGTGAGATTAATTTTGAGGAGGGAAGGGTGACCTTAGAGAGGACTACTGGCTGTGACTCATAGATCCACAAACGATCGATTTAGCATAATTAGCGTCTTACCGATAGATAAAGAATTCTGGATTTAACAATTAACGCGTCGAGATTCTGTAAGATTTTGAAAAATTTCAGCTCTACTGATATAGTAGATCAAAGATAAAGTAGGAACTTTTGGACCTTGAACTAGACGTTATCGTTGCAAAGATTAAATAAAAATACCTGAACAGAAGCGAATAAGAGAAGATAGAGTGTGAATTTGTACCGGAGCGCGTTAACAAGCAGAGCGCACACGCCCAGGAGATAAAACGGTCTGATAAAAGTCTCTTACGTGTTAAAAGAGGCGACCTCCTCAGTTGTTCTGCGACGTTTCACTGGCTCGTTAGCGATCAGATTATTACTGTTCGATTGTTCAACGTTTCCTGCCGGCTGACCGTCGATTTGATCGCAGTTTTCCTCGATGGCCGTGGAATTTGTCATCGGTACGGTGTCGGGTGTCGGTGGCATTTCGTCTTCCTCGTCCTCTTCGCTTACAGCGTCCTCCTCGATGTCACCCTCTTCACCCTGGTCGCCCAAACTGGACGCGATTCGATTCACTGTTTCCTGGGGATTTTCCGCTCCCTCGGACTTTGCGTCCATCACACACAACTGGCATAATTCATCCTACAATCAAATCATCGCCGAGTGAATTTCAGGAATCGTTGTCGCAAGGTAACTACTCGTATCGATGATGAAACATGGCTTTAAGATTAACTCACGATTATTGAAAAATGTTATTTTTAGCGAGCTCGATGTTTCGGAGTATTCGATATGGAGTCGAAGCGCGAGCATCGAGCGAAACCGCACGTTTACATTTCTCGGCTGCGACTGCTGGCGACGAACCGCAAGCCAGATTATCACGATAATTTTTCCACGATAAGAAGTTAATTATCGATCAAGCCGCTAACTGGAACGCTAACAGAACGCTATTATGATATTCCATCATAATATCAACCGGTTGATAGAACATTCCTTTGGAGGGGATGATAAAAAATCGCTTATATTTTCGAAATAAATTTTTATCTCTATAATAAATATTTCTAAACGTAAGTAAGATTTCTATAAAATATTGCACTCTTAACTAAGTGCAATTAATCTGAGTGCAAAGTAAAAATGAAACAGCATTGTAGTCCAAGGTGCTATAAATTGCTTTTAAAATATCCGTACGACACTTTCTTTCAAACAGAAGAAACGAGGTAGTAATTGAGAAAAAAAAAGAGAATACATAACAAAACAAAGTAACAACATAGGAAATTGGTTTCCCTCGGGCAGAAAATAATATTCTCCTCTACCTTGTACAGAGAATTGATGCAACTGAAAAGTAAGCACGTTCCTTCGAACGTCGCGTACGTACGTGTAATTACACATCAATTTCAATTTTTATTTTATTTCGCTTGGTGAATATTTCAGAAGGTAAAAGGCCCCGTGTACTTTCTCCCGTCGAGTTCTCATTCCGCTTCAGCAGAGGAACGAGCTCAAACAAGAAAGATTTTCGAACTTCCTTAGTGAAAAAAAAAAAGGAAAAGAGTTTGAATATTTAGGAAGAAATTAAAGAGGATCGATATGTTGTTAAATTAGATAATCTTGATTTAATTGTAACATCAACGAATCCATTGGACACGTCGAAAAGGAACGCTTGGCGTCGTTGCAAATCAATTTCACCGGCCAACAAAGAGATGGAATGAAAGGAATGCGTTCCACTCTGAGCACCGTAATATCGCGAAACGAACAAGAAATCCTGAACAATCGACGTCAACAAAAGCGATGCATAAAAATCTATACAGGGTGTCCCACTGACCATTGTGTATGTAAGTAGAAACTGTGGGTGGATTAAAATGATCAATCGTTCAGTTATAAATCATTTCAATTGCAACGGATAATTCTTCTGGAAGATAAAAGAAAAGATTAATTTAGCTATTGAAATTAACAGATACAAATGACAACGAGAATATTAAAAAATCTACACACAGGGTATACACTTTAAACTCGATTTCAAACTTTCTCCACCTGTCGGCAACGACAGAAGAAACGAAAAGATCGGATTTAACACCTTCGATTAGTTTCCAAAATTGATTAATCTCGAAGGCTGAAAACAACTGGCGGATGGCTGTTAATCAATTTCACCGGACAACAAAGGAACTCAACGAAAGGAAACGGCACGCGTTCCACTCCGCGCACTCTAATAGATCATTCACACCGGTAACGAGCACGTGTGTCATGAATATAACGTTACACCGTGTACATTGTGTACGCAACGATCGTTTGACGAATTCCTTTGATATCGTTTTGCTTTTGCTTCAAACATTTTCAGATTTCTTTACGGGGTAAACTATTCAGATTTCTCGGAGCCGACCGTGGAAAAATAAGGATTCGTTGTTTATTTTTTACTGCACCCCAGAAAAAAGGATGATAGAAGGTTTCTTTGTGGTTGAAAAATGGCTTACAGTGTCAGAGGTTAAATCGGCAAGGTAAAGGCAGGCTTCGAGGCGGTCAGGTCGCCGAGGCACAACGATCACTTTTGTTCTTGGAACGAGACAATGGCAGCTAATAAGGATCAGGCTAATTTTCATATTCAGGTATCCGCCCTGTGGCCCTGCAAGCCACGTTGTTGGACGGGTTTAGGGAGGCTCTATGCTTTTGCCCGATGAATTTTCATGGGTTCGACGAAGAAAGAAGAATAACAGGATGTCGAACTTGAGAGAATATTGAATACATCATTTCGAAATTAAATTAATCCGTCTGTTCATATTCGTATAGAGAAACTTTGTAATTCTAATTCAAGTAAAAATGATCCAAGGATTAATAATTAAATAGAATACAGAAACGCTTGCATCGTTATCACTTAAAATTGAAGAATACTTGAGCAAAAATTTCAAGATTTATAAAATAAGGAACCCTAAATTCGGCTCCGTTGTCGGACAGTAAATATCTCACTCGAGGATCAACACCATAACTGTCGTACAGGAATTTCACGATGACTCGTTAATTAACACTACTCCACTAAATTTTCCGTCTTCGCTCGAGTAAATTCGAGGAACAATTTACTTAATCACAAAAAAACGACCTCGACACAAATTCTCCACGTAAGCACAACTGTGTGTTTCTTGATTCTCCGTCGATCCAGGGTCACTTGGAAATCTTATTTTTATTAAAGGAAAAATAATAAATGGATCACCGGTAGTTTTCGATCAGGTATACGAACCTCGAAGTAGGATCCATCGCCGATCGATCGGTTCTCGGAAGACGCGTCGGTGTCGGAGAGGTCCGCTTTGCTCGCGGCTGAATCCTCGTAGTATCGCGATCTCGTGGCTTTCTGGCGTTTCGAGCGGTTCGAACGATTCGAGCGGTCCGAGCGCGTTGAACGAGCCGACTGACCCGGGGATTCCCTTCCAGAACCTCGCGAATGTCTGCGGCTGAGTCGAGGCTGCTTCGTGACTGGCTCCTCGTCGCTGTCGCTACTGCAACGGTATGGCACCACGTTCTGGAACACGAAATCGCCAAATCAGTTGATCCGATAAATCCTGCGCCGTTCACCACCATCGATTATATGAAATCGTACGCGAATCGAGTAGAGGCCAATTCTGGAACCATTTCTTCAAATTAAAATACAAAATTTGTTTTGGAGAAGGAGATCAATAAATAAAATTTAATCTAAGCGAGGTGGACCAGAATTGAAGAGATTTAAATGGAGCGGAAGTTCGGCACGTGTTGGGTGTGGCAAAAATTAGTCAAACATCGAGTATCCAGAAATTTTTCTACCATCTCCGTCTTTATTCTCGATTCAACTAATTTTACTCTGGCGCCGATCCAACCCGGTTTTCTGTGAATTCTTATAAAACATCGTTTCCTTCTCTGTGTTCTTAAGAGATACATCCATCGTCCTACTATCGCTCGTGTCGACAGAAATTTCCACTCGATACACGTGCCGTGGAAAAGTTAAGGAAAAATGATTTTCATTCTCTGAGTTTCGATGTTAGACTAATGGAGTGCTTGGAATTTGTTTTTTTATTTTCAGATACTTCCAATGTCATTGAACCAACCGATTTCGAAACCTAATTCTAAGCGTGATAATGATTATGCGCATGGAACTTTGCTAAATTGCAGTGTTTTGTAATCGTGCGGCTACGCCATTGCACGAGGCAAACGACACAAAGTGACTAACAAAAGATAAATATGCTCGATGGACAGTGCTGATAATAAAGAACGTGGGTATATCGGGAATAAATGCAGGATTAATGGCCAATTGCAGCGAGGCTCGACTAAATTTAGAGGCCGTGCCATTCAAAGGATACCTTACCTCAGACCTTATTGCAACATCAATTAAAAGCACGAATTAATTATAATCCAGTCACTGCTAAACAATAAATGCAATTACAAACTTCTTCGAACAATACTCGATACTTTAATTACTTTTCATTTGACGCGTTACACGCTGCACATTTTTCTTCAATAATTCCAGGAATTGTATGCGACTCTTAAACTGATAATATCTGATAATCATTCTGTATGTTAGTTGAATGCACCTCGATAACAGATAGAAATATATTCAAGAACGAGATAAAATCTTGTTTGTTACGTAACAAGCGATCATCGATAAGTTCCTTTCAATAAAATTTTCATCGCAGATCTTTTCACCGTTCTCCATGGATCCTTTATGGGCGATTGACGTTATATAACGATTCTTGAAATAAATTGCGGTTAAAATAACTGATACTGAGAATATTTAATAATATCTAAGTAGTGGTATTAATTAAATAGTCGATGATGTAGGAAACTATTTGAAACAATCTTGGAAACGATTAGTAATATATGTTCGTAGGACGTTTAAAGGCTGGTTTACAAGGCGTGCAAAGCTTTGCATCGCACAAATGATCGCGTTTCGTTGATCCTCTTAAGGGGTTAATTTAATTGCTGGTCAAAGCCGAGTGAAAGGCGTAACAGTGATACATACCGATAACAATCGCAACATTTGCTTTAAATCCGCTTGAAACAGAACGGTGCTCACGAGTGACCACGGGTTTCCTTAATTTATTAACTTTCTACGCTATCCAGAAAGATCCATTAGCTCTGAAACTCGGTTTAACATTGAATCGAAGAAACTACTTGTCGGCATATAATGGACGAAAGCGTGTGTGTATTATTTTTCTCCTCTCAAGTCAAGACAGATTTTCTATTCTATCGTAAGAACGGGATCGCAGAAAAAATTCAATTCAACGACGATTCATAACAATTGCTCGTTAGGAAATTAATTTGAAAGTAAAAGAAGGATATTACGAGTGTTACAATTAATTTGTACACCTTCTGGTAAAGATGCAGCTACTATTTCCAGAAGTTACTAACGTTTGACGGTTCGTCGGATGATAACGCACCTTAACAGATAAGCTTTGACTGAAATAAAAATCTAATCTATCGGCAACATGCGAGTAAAGTAATTTTTTTAAACGAACCTAGCGATCTTGAAGATACCGAAGAAGGTTAAAACATCGGCGCAGAAAATTAATTGAGATAAGAAAATTATAGCTTCTAGAAATTGTGCGGCATAATTTCTTCGTGCAAGAAATTTGAAAGTTATTTTTTGAGGGAAAGGAAGGATGCACTTTCGAGTCGTTGAAAAATATGATAAGAACGGTGAATAATATTCTTATCGGGTTACGAATTGTACACTGGTATAAATTATCTCAGAAATTCTCTCTGTCAGACGTGTCTCGTCCTTCCTCTGGGTCGTTCCGGAAACGACTATCAACCGGCGAAGAAACTCACTTGCGGCAAGTGTCATCGAGCCTTGGACAAAGGTTTTCAAAGGTCTCTTCCTCGATTCCTTGAAACGAGAGATAACCTTAAAACGCGAAAAGAAAACATACGCTGATACCGAGTTTTTCGATGAATATTGAAGTTTGTCGAGAATAAAACACAAACGATTTATTGTAAGAAATTTTACAAGTAATCTAGACGTCAGTGTGGAATATACTTCGGTGAAGGAAAAAATGATGCTTCAATTACACACATTGTAACAGCTAATCGACACAGAAATCATGACCCCGTCGCGATTAAGAGTTGTCTTCGCATTCTGCACAGTCTACCAGCGAACAATTTAAAAGATTCAATGACTAGCTACGACACAAATCCTCAAGAGAGAAAGTCAAGAATACACGCATCCCGAGTTGTAAGATTCCGCGACAAAGAACAAGAAAACAACTGTAAAGACACAAACCGTTAATCAAAGATAACCATCCTCAAATATAATAGCAGTGAAATTGAAAAGAAAAATTAAATATTACAGTAATTACGCGAGTGTCTAGCAAAAGGGTTAAATTCGAGTTTAAAATAGAGAAAAAGTAATATCGTTTATCGTTTCATTAATTTTACACCGAAAGGGATACCCCCTTAAGAAATCAAGCAACAACTATGAGAAGGAGCTGAAAATCGAAGAAGTTGGCACGGAGAAACCAATTCGATCGACGACCAACTGCTTATGCAATCATCGCCTTTCTCAGAATCATTTCCAGCTCGCTAACTAACTCGCCACGCTCGTAAATATAAAGTTCATGTCGAGCAACGAGCTAGAACGACCGACCACCGTTCGAAGGTGTTGTCCAGAAGAAAAAGTAAATCACTCACTGTCATGTCGCTGGAACGAGAAGTCAACGATTTAAATCACCACCGAACTGTCTTCTTTCTACAGAAAATGGAGCGACGTGGAAGAACGATGCACCAGCTCGCTGTCCGGTGTCCAAAAGTGAACTGACACCGATAGCCGAACCGACCAAGACCCTTACCATCGACAACCTGCTGGTACCTCGGCTACCTGAACGCGTTTCCAGGCCGAATTACCTGAATCTTAAACCGTTGTGCGAGAAAAATGCCTATTCTAGAACAGGTACCAACGACGAAGATCTATAACGAGAGATTAAATGAATTTTCTGAAACTCTTTCACAATGGAAACCATGGTTTCGCGATTGGAAAGGTGCAGTTCAATTGGCAAGCTTTTCAGACAGATGGTTCTATTAATTTCCTTGATATCGAGGCGCGGAACAACTAATGGCAGACAAATACGGCCATGAACTACACCTTGTTCATCGCTGTTCACTGCGTGCCTTCACTTTCGCCTTTTCGAGCGAGCGAAACAAACCCACCGCGGCGTCGTATCAAAAGATCAACGAACAAAGATGAAACGGTGACTTTCTTGGACATTTTACGGATCTGTGTAAAAGCCGGCAGAAAGAATGGCCACTTTTCTTCCAGCACTCTCTAAAGCGATTTTCACAGACTGAATAGTAGAATGGTGGATTTTAAACGTTTAAGAGACAGAGTATCCGACTCTTAACCCGACAGCGAGACACGTGAAAGTGAAAAATTAATTTGCGAAATTGTAATAAGCAGATGTGTATCTTTGTTTGACTAAAAATTATCGCTTTATTCGGGAATGTTAAGAACTGTATGAGAATTGAATTTCCGGAATTGAAAGTTACGAGTCCTAATCAAATTAGAAAAGAATTGTTAAAGAATTTGATTTACCATAAGTTGGAGATAGATTTTTATAAATCAAAATGCAAATAAGACAGAAAATACGCTTTTGCCAGTGGTTTATAAGCATCGTAAATACAAAGACAAGAAAGGAATCTTGCTAAACGATACCATTGTTCAGGAATAACCTACGATCACTCGTAGATATCTTACGATCAATTGAAAGGAACTGTCCACCATAGGGAATTTCGTAGAGCAAAGTGCGCAAGCCTTTGTAATTATACCTGAACCGTCCGTTCTAGGAAGGTTGAAAGGTTTGCGGCAGGTATGGTATTGTATGTAATAAAACAAGGTCGACTGTCAGTCTCGAACGATCAACGAACGAACGAAGATTTTGTGTGCCAGCAAACATAATGAAACCCTTTGTTCAAAGACTTTTCCATTCGAATACCCCTCTGACAACCTTGCTTTCCATTTCGATGAAAGGTTCAATTGCAAGGAAGAAAATAATGAAAGGTTTTCGTGCAAATCTGCAGCGCTTATTAATTATTCAAGAAAAAAAAAGAATTCATTGGAAACGTTGAAATATCCTTGTATGGAAAAACGTGTTTATGTAACGTGAAAAGTCTATTGAGGATTATAGCGGCGAGGTAGTAATACAGAAACGAGTGTAGTAGCGATCGTTAGACTTGCAAATAACTAACCACACGATGCTTATAAACGCTGCAATTTAATATGTCCGTGTTTCCCTTGGAGAGGTTAAATATGCAGACACACACACACACATGTACACGCATGATATATGTTTCATTATGCGACCCTGCGTGCAGTTTCCATCTGATTCGAGCAATGTAACAGCAAGGAGAAAAATTCCAAATTCCGACAACGTGTATACATGCATTGCATTTTACTACATTATCCTGTTTACTGACATTCTCCACTTTTAGCCTTCTACGGATTTGCTGTTTTTCTTATCGCGGAGAACGATAACGAAAGAAATAAAACTTTCAGTAACCGAGTAGCATCGGGTGATTTTTTAATTTAATTGAAAAATTTATTTCAGAAGATACTTGTGTTTTATCCTTCTATCAAATATTTTTAGAGTTTCTGATAATTGTGATTAATCGAAGAGGAAAATATGAGGATTGGGTTATTCGCTTCTAAACACAATCTCTTACAATCAGGATATACAACGTAATATCTACTTACCGTAGATATTAAACTTTTTTTTTCACGAATCTTTTACCTTCTGTCGATCCAGTATAATCGCGGATGCAATTTCTACCGTGAGGTAACAAGCATACATTTAATTACAAACACTCGTTTCAAGATATATTATTAAGTTCGATGAATACCTCTAACAACGAACTTCCGATTTCATTCCATCTTGTTTAACTAAACGTTATAATTTTCGAGTACCAAGATTTTCTTCTGTATAAAATCTCTGTTCTCCTTTCGATTCCCGAGAATTCCCATAAACGTTAAGGAAAAAAAATCACTTTTACCGCCGGTGAACGCGGATCATTAAACAGTAATTATACTCGAGCCCGGACATATTCTACAAAAGCATTAATTAATCCGAACACGTGTCTCGGATCGAACAGTCGTTGAAAGACAGCTGATAGAAGGTTGCACACTTTCTATGCAAAACCCTCGTAAAAATTGCACCGAGTCTCTCGAGCGTTCGCACGCTTTCATCTCTCCGAGGGAATCTGAACGACGACGTTAACGTCGCTTTTAACCGATAAATATATCAACGAATTACGGCGAATCAACGTCCGTGCAAATCATTCGCGAACACGAGAAGGCGATCACTAAAATCGCCGCGTGTCGGGGAGGTTCGAGTTATCAGGACGCAGCCTCGTTCCTCGTGTAGATCGGTAGATCGGTGTAGTCACGCGATAAGCGATCGAAACGTATGGAAAACGAGCAACGAAAACGAAACTGAGCCCCGTATTACGAGATATGGTCTGTTTGCCCGTGAAACACGTGCCTGGCAAACTTTCACGAAACACTCGTAGCTTTCGCGAATTATTAACACGTTTTTGCGGAGCAATCGTGCGATTCTAACTTTTGTTATTCAACCGTTTGTTTTATAATCGGAAACTATTTATAAATGTTGAATCCTCGAACAATGGATCGCTCGATTAAATTTTATTAAGAATAAAAAGAAAAAAAAAATGAA